TACAGTGCCTGGCACAAGAGTAGGAAAGGTACTAATTGTACTCCCATTTATGACATTTTAGTCCTACCTATAATGATGATGCTTGTTCCAAAGACAATCCCACAGTTTTTATATTACTTCTGGTCAATATCATTTACACAAGTCCACTGTTCACAAGTCCTTTTTAACACACTCAAAATGACGCATCAAACAAGATGATGTTGGAAAAGCTGAGGTTCTGCCAGTGCATTACAACTATTTGTAACCAGTGATATCATACATACACAGATACATGTATGAGATACGACATGCAACAAAGACATGCACCAAGGAGCTACCAGCAGTAATTACACATTTCCTTAGCCTATCTTTTTAAAATACTTGCAACATCCATCTTCCTTTTAATTTAATCTTCAACAAACATCTCATTTGGGGGAGAGGAAAATCCTATTGGTTACTTAAATCTGCATTAGTGGGCTGCAATGGCACCTCCACATTCGCAAGTACATGCTCTTGCAAAGACAGCTTTGCATACATTTTTGTACTATTCATCATGGAAACAAAAAGTAAAGATCAGATGGATCTCACTGTATTTGGAGAACCCCAACCATCACAGCTAAGTCACAGCAGGTCTGTTTGCAGTGGTATTGCAAGAGAACACAGTGACACAACAGATTCACCAGAACACAGTACCTGGTCAGTAGTGGGAATCGACTCCCATCTACGCTTCAGCAAGTACAGAGATTTCCGGCTCATGATTTTGAATCTGCTCTAGAGGTTTTTCACACTCAAGAAAAAGGCTTCTCCCAAACGAGTGTTAAGAACCTTATTTCTGATTCCTCTGCTTCATGGCTATAGACGGCAGAGCTCTCCGATGTATGGAAGTTTTGCAAGCTGCAAGGTTCAGACCGGTTTCGCCAAAGCTTCCTCTGTTTCTTTAAAGCGTCTGTCTCCTCATAGTACCACGACAAAGAGAATTGGGTGAGATAGTGAAAAGCCTAGCTTTCACTGACGAATTACCTCGTAGAAGCATGAAGTAGGTAGACAACACCAGACGCACTCAATCTGAAAATAGCTGTTGCTTAGGAACTGGAGTGGTAAAACGCAGCACCTCAGATACATAATTGAGAGCTTTTATATTTAAAGAGAATTAAAAACACTGGACCTCTCTGTTTCTCTCCCGATCATCATCCTTTTATATTGCTGGAAGAATGATCACTCGATTCCACTGAATCCTGGGGCTACGCCTACATCTTCAGCAAGCCAAACAAGGCTTGATGACAGAGCAACAAACAACTCCCATGAATTCAAGGTCCCTCGTAAAAATGTCTGCACAAAGTGTATTGTGGATCACACCTGAAATGTCTTAGAAGTATTAAGTGTTACATTTTAGTAGAATAATTAAAATACAGTTTACCTATTTTGTCTGGAGGGATAATGTGCCAAGAATTAATTCTAGCACTCATATCTTCTTGTAACACATACTAATATTAGAAATAAGTATGGTATTTTCCCCTCACACGAGTTAGATGATACAGTTTTACAGACTGCATGTGTGTGTTTGAGAGAACTTTATTTAGATGGGTTAAATATATCCAAACAGTTAGAAATTTCTTTAATTTGGAATGCTACTTTTGAAGTTTCTTTCCTAGATCTTAATTGGTATTGATTTTAAAAATTAAGCTTGGAACATAATAAAATTCACTTTGCACTTCCTCCATGCTATCAAATCCAGAGAATAAGTTCTGCACATGAAGCATTTACAGCAGGAATTCTTATCTTAAGAAATCATAAAATGAAGGAAAAAATGAAGAGGTAGGTACCCAGGAATTCATCTACTTGTTATAAGTCAGTATATAATTCACTCTAGTTACAACAGCTTTAAAAGCAAAAATTATTCTAACAGAAAAGGAAACCTACAATGTACATAGATATATACACGTTTGTGTATAATCTGCAATGGACTGAGTGAGGTTCTTGTGTGGAAGTTAGGAGCAAGTTAAACACTATAAAGACAGCTTTTTACTTGTCCTATTTACATCCTATTGAATTGCAGATGCTTCACAGTAGACAAACTCCTGTAAAAAGAAATTCCCATAAGCCTAAGAATATTTCATTTGACATCCAGTGCTACCTGTAACTACTTCACTTTGCTTTTAACTCCCGCAAGCCGAAAAGCAACATATCTTCTAAGTGGTTCATTAAGAAATATGATGTGCACTGTAGTAGTTTCCTTTTATGTTTCAAACACAATGAATAGAAAATCTACTAGTTTTATAAATAAATAAATAAAATCTTGATGGAATTTAGTTTTATTTTATGGTAAACCAGTGGTTCCATTTCCTTTTCTTTCAAGTGGCATTGCTTACACACACACACACAGGTGGCTTCATAAGACCGATCTTCCCACTTTCTTCACTTCATACATGTAAGATTTAAAGGATCATGGAAGACTAATAAACTGGCTAGCAATTACACAAGCCAAAAACCCTCTTCTTCCCTCTTGCTACTTGACCAGCCACTGGCCAAAAGATCTCTGCTTCCAAGTCCCATTTCCTTGCTGAAGTAAAGCCGCGCAGATCTACGGAAACATCACAAGTAATCATGTGGTGCAGGCAACTGCTAGTCCATCTTTAAAGAATTGACGTCTGAGTGTATCCACCAGATCACTCATTGTAATTTTGAAACAAGACCTTATTTAACAAAGGGTAAATTTATTAAGGATACAAATTGGAAACAATGCAACTGAATCACAGAAGTATTAAAAACAAACAAATTTTATCCCATTCTTCTTATCCCATTATCCCTGAACTTTTTCTATTTTATTTTATTTTTTATTAATACAAAATGGTAGAGGAGTATCTAGGATATCACACAGGGAAGGAACAAAACCATACTCAGTCAGATTGAGCAAATCTTAAAAGTTTGTATAGAGCTATCTATCTTCTAAGAAGTATCTCCTCCCCTGCCTCCACCGAAGTCCAGAGGACTCCACCTGTATTTGCTTAGTAACCAGTTATTTCATTTTGACCAACTACAGCTTTCTCTCACAGCGCCCAACAAATGGTTTTATATGCAGATGGCACTTACAGCATTTGCATATGCAGAGTGAATGTCTATGTGACTATTTCCCTCCTTATTCTTAGAAGGGGGTGAAAGAAAGAATCCAGGCCAGTAGTTCTCTGGAACCCTTTTTGGAAGAAATCAGCCTCATCAGAACAAAAAATCAACAAATTCTTCAGCAACTGTTTCATCCTGTGAGCTCAGTTGTGTTTTTTTGTTTGTTTGTTTGTTTGTTTTTGTTTTGTTTTTGTTTTTCAGAAAACACAAAAGGGATCCATTAAACAGTACAACTCCAATTTTGTGCAGAAAGATATCTTTTTGATAGTCAAATTCATTTATTTTTATATTTTAATTTAAAATCTATTTAAATCAGATTGATACCACTTACCTAAATCCCTTTCTCTACTGTTTATATTAGATAGCTTTAAACCTTCAAAAATGTCTACCCAACCAACCAACAAATAAAAACAAAACAAAAAAACAACCAAACAACCAAAAAAGAACAAGAACATCAAAGCATTTTTTAATCATGAAGGCACTGATGTAGAACACACAAAAACATACCCATATTTTCATATACATTAAAAAAATAAAATAAAATCAGATGAAGACTTGTAATAACGTTAGAAAAGTTTAAGTCATCATAGGACTCCTTCAAGTGATCACTTCTACTCAACAGTAGTCTAGGAGTCTAATTTACCTTCCAATCTTTGGACTAGAAGGACACATTATAATGAACTAGTACATTAGATGAGGCCAGAGAGATTAAGTATTGAACAGTTCTCCACTTACTAGATAGGATTTCTGAAATTCCTAAATTTCCATTGAAAACTAGCTTGTTTTCTGTTTTTTATATTTTTGAAATGGCAGATATTGACATCTGGAAAATCAGAACTGCAACACACCTTAAACTGTTTAATGGAATAATAAACATCCTGCAAATTTCAAGATGGATTTGAAAAATAATGCAAGGCAGAAACTTGGAAAACAGAAAAAAATGTAGAATTCAACAATAAGGCTAAAAAAGCGAAAGGACAACTTAGCAAATGAGTTCTGCATTGGAAATAGTAAATCTTGTCCATTAAGGAAACAAGCAACAGCTTTGTAATTGACATACAGTATTTTCTCATTAAAAAAGCAGTTCCTCCAGTGATTTTTGCAAGGGGGAGTATGAAGGATACTTCAAGAACTAACCTACTGAAATTAAGGTTGCAAATAGCAGGTAGCTTCACAGTAACAGAGCCTGTTTATTAATTATTTAGACTTAGATGTTCACATTTGTATAAAAATCTTTCAGCTGAAGGAAAAGAAAATCTGAAATACAGAAAGGCTAATAGCGTATTTATATTATTTCAGCACCAGATAGGAGAGACTGCTTTTTCCAAACAGGAAAATTCCTGAGCATCACATTAGTAGCAATGACTCCTCTGCAGTAATTCTTATTCTACAGAAAATTTAAAAATGTATAATGCCATTAACCCTACTAGCATAACTTCCCTTCAGAGATGAGTCTACAGCAAACCATGAGCTACAGAATATTCCCCCACATGCTTGTACAGTTTCAACACCACTAATCCCTCTATTATTGAACAAGATAGGAGGGCCATCTGAGTTTTACAAGTTTGCTGGGTTAAAAAAAAATACACACATGTTATTTGAGATTGCATTTCTTGATATCCTGGAGATAAATGGAGAAAGCAGAGCAAGTGATTTTTCAATACATCTAATCTGTCTTTCTGCTACAGAAAGAAACTTCTTTCTGTTGCAATATTCTGCTCTGCTGGGATCACCTGTTTGTATTATAGCTCAAAAATTATAATAATAAAAGCTGTCATGGTTTTATGATTTCTTTTTATGGTTCAATCCTACGAATATTAATAAGATGAACAATTTTGCCAATCATAGACAGAAAACCTGCTTCAATACCAAAAAGAAACACAAAATATTGAGCTACTGACCTGTGATCCTCTGGGTCCTCGTTTGTGATCCCATTCAGAATGCCCCATGAGCTTTAAAAAGAAAAGAAAACACAGGTAAGTGATAAATCACACTGACTGGCTTTAAATGAAACATTCATGCTCTAAATCAATTACAATTTGTCCTTGGAAAAACAAACAAACAGGTTTTCTTTCATGATTTACTTCACACGGCTTTTAGCTTCATAATGAGAGTGTTACTATAACTTTGTCAGTCAGACTATAACTGCAGTCAGAGCCAAATCACACCTAGCATCATCTTGAGCACAACACTGCTCATGCCAATAACATTCCCACTATTGAATTAATTAGACAAATGTTTATGATTGAACTGGCAGAAGGAGAGATGACATATCAACACTGAGATCACCAAAACCAGTGGACATTTGATGAAGCAGCAATGCATTTTTTATACCTGGCATGAAAGTCACTGACAGCTTTAATTTTGTCATACCACTGAATTTTTCTAGAACTTCTCAAGGTAATAAAAGAGTAGAGGTACATTCCCTACAGGAAAACATGTCAGGGTCATTGCATAAAAGAAGAAAGCAAGAGACAGTTTAGAGACGGTGGGTTGGTTCTTGTGGAAATTAAGATTTGTGATAGTATGCAGCTCCTCAAATTAAAGAGAGGTATTAATTATATTCAATTTCAGCTCTCAAATCCTCTGCCCAACCCCACAACAGGCTGTGTTGTGAGAAGTTCTCAGGCATTGGATTGCATAGTTGGACCAATCTATAGAAAAAAGAATTTGTCTTTCTCTATCTTTTTCTGCTGTACTTCATAACTATATACTAAGACAGGTGCTCACTTTCTTACTCTAAGCAACATACAATTTGCATACAACAGATCTTTTCGTATGTGCCACGGCAGAGCAAAAGAAGAGGAGAGAGAGAATACCCAGTAGGCTTCATGACCGTTTTATGTATTCACAGGTTATGTGCAAACATGAACAGCTGACAATGAAGATATTATCAGACCTGCTGAAAAAGCATGGAAGCACCAGCAAGTGCCCAGGAAGAGCTGCCACACAGCCTGAGCCACACAGTGCCCAAGTCCTGCCTCTCAGCACTCTGTTGACATGCATGACAGCCTATGAGCTGACTGTTTTACAGCTACTTGGGGATCTCGGTAATGTTTTCCTTACTCATACAAGTATAGCTTAATACAAATACAAAATTAGGATGATAAAAACAGGAGGGTTAATGTGACTCGCAGTGACTTACAGTCATAAGCATTTTCTTGTGTGTCCTTCCCCCCAGCACACCTTCCTAAAAGAAGCATCTTCTCCCAGATTAGATTTATGAAAGGAGATTTACAACCTATGCTTATTGTGAAACATCCTTTCAAAACACTCATCCCAGGACTAAAGAGATTGAAACTACTTTGAAAAAAAAAGGGGGGGGAGGCACAGACATCTCATATGAAATCTTTATTTTCTCCCTCCATCAACTGTTCCTTTTCTTTTTTTCTGTAAATTGTTACTTATGATTACTCATCCCCACAACTGGAGACAAACCACACATGCAGGTAAGCATCAAAGATCAGAAATGTCACACTTTTTTTTTTTTTTTTTAAAAAAAAATCTGATACAGCCTTATGAGTGACATTCTCATTTTACTTTCCCATATCCTGTTGATGGAAATACTGACTGTGCCAGGTTTCCCTGTTTGTTTCTCCATATTGTTATGTTTGCTCATTACTGTATTAAACACAGCTTTGATGTTTATGAAAGCTGGCCTCTCAGTAAATAACCATTGCGCAAAAGCTACAGAGATGCATCTAGCAAAGGCTGTATGCCTCACAGAACCTTTGCCAAAATCTTCATACTTATTCTTCCTCCCTGTCTCCTGCGTCTCTGTAACAAGAAAACCTCTTCTGTGTTAACTACTCAGCCCCTACACCTTGAGGAGAAGTGGTGCCCTACAGACCTCTGGCACATACCACACCCGCGAAACTTGAGGTAGCATGAGACCCCACTGCACTGGCTTTCATTCTCCCAGCTCTGCTGAGTCCACAGTCCACTGAAGAGCAAAGAACTGCTGTCAACAAAACTAAGCAATAGAGTTAAGAGTCAAGCTTGGAGTAACCATTCCCATTAGAGGAAGTGGACCAAATGTAAGGCAGCTTCCCATGCAGCCAGTCCCAGGAAATCAGGCTGATGTATCAGGGGATGTTACTTGTGCTCACCACCAATTCTCAAGCCCAAACCCAGTCCTCTGAAACATACCATCTTCTCTAGGCATGGTTCACCCACCCTGGTCCTCAGTTACTGCCCAGTGCTTTGCATCATCCCAGGAGTGCCTTCCCACATTTCCCTGGCCCCATGGGCAGCCCCTGCTCTGCCCCGCTGCTCCTCATCCTATGCTTCTTATGGGGGCCTTTTGTCAGAGGTCAGATATGGCAGCAGCAGCTAATGTTACAGTAAAAAACGAGTCCAAAAGCCATAATAATTAGCCCTTTAGTCCTTTCTCCACCTTTCAGCATTTAACTATCAAATCCAATTACTGAAAAGAGGCCAAAGTCATCAACGAAGCAACCAGTTATAAACTCATCAGGACCAATGGAGTGAGCCCTTGCTTATTCTGGCAATGAATCTGGCACCACTTTATTAGAAAACTGCTAACTCTCCATAGCAAATGACACAAGCCACATTTCATTTAATTTCCTTACAAACGTGCCTTTGTGGAATCAGACGTGTTTGTATATTTGTTGATGGATCCATTGCCCCTAGTGTAAAAGAATTTCAACATCATTGTTCTGTCTTTGCATGTCATGTACTGTGCCAGTATGCTCTACTGAATTAACCCTGTGGTTTTTACCTGCTAAAGTAGTGAACTAAAGGAAGTAAAAGAGGAGTTATGTGACACTATGAGACCTTGTCAATTCTAGGCAGTTTTCAAGCATAGTTGTAAAATGCATGACCCTACAAAGCCAACTTTGTCATACTGTTTTTTATAATCTACTAAAACTTATTTGGCTTTAAAATATATTTCTTCCTCACAGTCTAGAAAACACTTTTCATCTCATGCTAGAATGTTCTTGGCATTTCTACAATGGTCCATAGTTACCAAGGAGTGAAGGAGGAAAAAAATAAAATAAAGAGTATATCACACTTACAGAAGAGCCTCAAGTTTTAAGACAGAAAATAAACACACAGAGCTGTTGTAACAAAATCTCTGCCAGGCCATCCTACATAGGGACGATTGTGTAGGTATGACACCCTTTACCACCACAACCCACACTATCCTAGATTACTTCTGAAAAAAATTATTTGAATAGAGCACAACATCCAGAAAAGAAGGAAAGCAAATATATCTGACCTATAAGGCTACTCAGAAATCACGATTTCTACAAGCTTTATAGAAATCAAAAGATGAAGAAAATGGTATTACAAATAATAACAGTAATAGTAAGAATAAGTCAGAATCAGAGAGAATGCACAAAATCCACTTCAGTCAGAGTCAACCTTTTGAAACCAGAATAAGAGAAAGAAATATTATTTATTTGGTGTGTGCATGAAAACAGGGAGACAGACATAAAATGCATTTGGAAGTAGAAGGATTTATGTTGATCACTAACAGAAGGGTTTGTTCCAGACCCCTCCACTTCCTCCAAAAACTACTAGAAATTTATTTGGTCCAGAGCAATGGTAAATGATCTCATATCACCCAATTACTTTTCTTTATTATTCTTACTGCCAGGCCACTGGAGCTAAGCATATCAGCAGCAGAAAAGGAGGGATAAAAACAAAATCAAACTTCCACATGCTTGCATGTGTGCAGTCTGTCTCACTCAGAAGGCAAGCATCTACTTTGAATTTCATCTAAAACAGTCCTGGAAACCCAGCTCTGACAGTTTTAACACTTAAAGAAGAAGGCAGCTCTCAAGAGCAAGAAAAACTCTCGCATGGTTAAGAATGCATAAAAACAGGGGCTCCACGGAAGCCAACTAGTTCACTCTACCCTACAAACTGACTAATGGCTCTCTAGGAAAAACAGCCCCTCTCCCTCCCCAGCTGAGTACGAAGTTTGGGAATGGAAGGAGGCCAGGAACAGGGAAGACCCTAACACCAAAATCATAGTTAAAGAGAGAAAAAGAGAAGTGAAACAGAGCTAGCTCACTCGCAATAAGTACGGTGGTATCCTCTACACTACTGCACAGGCTTTTTCTATAAACACTATAAAGTCAGCCTCATGGCTGTAAAAATAAATTTTATATATAAACCACATGTACACTAATGCAATGGTACCTGCAAAAGGATATGGAACAGTATGAGAATCTGTCTGAAGTACCCATGCTAAAGCAGAACAAAGACAATTAAAAGACATTTAAAAAATTAGACATTTAAGACGTTTAAAAATTAGCATCTTCAGCTCAGCTCTCACTCTAAGTGCACTTCTTCTTCTGTTTGGTGATTTAGTGAAAGCCCCAGCATATGATTATATAAAATTCTCAACTTTCATTAAAATTCATAAGCCATATTTCTAAGCCTTCTCAGTATTAGAGAACTGCAGAGAAATGTGAGCCACACATACTGCAGAAGATTTAAATACATAAAAATACAGAAAGTAAAGAATGACAAATCAAATCTTTATAAACTGGAGTTTTCTAGGTCTTGTTTTTCTCTTAAATCATCTTTTTTGGCCTAGGTTTTGATTTTGGCACTCTTGTACTACCAATACTGCTAACTATGCCATGGCTAAAAAAAAAAAAAAGCAGGGGGAAGGAGAATACAGTAACAGAATGCCTTTGGAAAACCACAGGGTTTTTGTATTTGAGCAAATGCAATACTGAACAGAGTTTTATTAGAGAGAATGGGCAGATCTTTTCATGTTAAGTGCTTCTGAGAACCAATAGAGCAGTAATACTTAATGTTTAATAGAAAACTTTAAACCAATTCAGACTCTATTTTAATTCTATACGGTTTACAGAGTCTACTGCTCTGGAATTTTATTTAGATATACATTTACAAATATACAATCTTTTTATCACTATAAAAATAATTAGATAGTGGTGACTATGAAAGGTGA